CAGTCCTGACAACAAAGAACGTGTGGAAACCATGCTCGAGGAGTGGTCGAAGAAACCGCCCTTGCTGACCGTGGTGCCAACCGAAAAAATGAAATCGAATCGATCTATTTTAAGCAGCGACAGAGACAGTTTGACGGAAAGTTCGGAGACTTCGGTGAGGACGGTGATCCAGCGAGGCGGCGGGGTCGAAACGGAAGACGTGTCGCGGAAGATCGAGTTCTTCGAAAATGTAGAAAAGAGAAACGAACAGCAGCAGCAGCAGCGAGAAACAACACCAGCAACGACAACGTTTCGCAGATGGAAAAAGTTGTCGCAGAGCTTCGCCGATCTGAAGGAGCTCTTCGGCGAGACGAGCTCCCTCGAATCGGTCAGGTACACCTCGTCCGCAAAAATCGGTCGGTCGCGATCGACGTCGCCGCGCGAGCGAACGACTGACGCGGATCGTGATCAACGGAAGGAATGTCCGTCGGAAATAATGAACAGAGGACAACAACAACGACGCTCGATCCGCTCGTGTTCACGGGAGCGTGAACAGCACGACACGCGGCCGCACAGCGTCAGTCCGTGTCGCGCGACCACGCGATCAAACTCGTCCTCCTGCAGCGTGGACAGCGGCGGCGACTGGCGCAGTTCGTCGCCGGATCCCGAGAGATACTGGCGCGCGTATCTGAAATTGGTGCGAAACGGCACGGTTCGTCGGTTGCGAGCGAGATTCGAGAGTGCCGAGGATCTGTCGCGGCGCGTCAAGGTCACGCCCAAGCCGAAACGATTTCGCAGCGATCCGGAACTGGCGAGAAGTTTGCTGAAACGAACGAGGAGCAGCGAGGGTGAAGGTCGCGGCTCTCTGAAACCGGACGTGGCCTGGTTGCGCAGGCGTTTCGAATCACCGAAACGTGGACGACCACGTGGACGGCGAGGCGAATCGCCGCCGATTCCGAGGATACCGCTGCGTCGCGACAATCTATCTATGCCGCACATCGATATCATCAGCAAGACCGCCGAACTGAAAGAACCCCAGCCTACAAGCACCGTTACCAATCACGTGGCGAGGCGGGCGGAGACCAAGGAACTCGAAGCAAAGAAACCGGTCTGCCGGATGCGGAAGAGATTCGAGTCAGTCGGCGGACGAACGTCCCTGATGGGCGAGATGTTCACGTCGGCGCCGGATGTGCGCGAACTGCGCGACATCGCGCCCTATCTGGCCGGGAAGTGGGTGGCTCATCGGTTCCCGAGTCGACGTGACAACATGCGTTCACTGTCGTCGCCGGCCGATCTCGAAATTCACGGTAGATCCTCGAAGAAAGATTCTTCGTCCGCCACTTCCGAAAGTGGCAAGAAAAAATCGGAACGGCCGCGCGCCGCTTCTTCGTCGCCCGCGCGTCCCAAAATCCCCGCGTCGATCCTCAAATCGTCGCAGACGACGATGTTTGCCGGTCAACCTTTCGACCCGGACAAGCACAAACCGAGATTCAGGTATCAACCGCCGCCCCCGCCGCCCTCGCCCAGCACCGTGCGAAAACACAGAAGCTGGTGGCCGACCTTGCCGATCTACACGGCTCGACCTACCGTCACCTTCGAAGGTCTGAAATCTCGTCAGCTGGCACAACATTTCGATCGCTTTGAGTCTCTCTTTAACTTCCGGAGGAGCGAGAAAGAAAACTTTTGAGTAGTAAACTTTCTCACAATTTGTAAAAAAATTGAATTTTCTTGTTAAAAAAAAAAAAAAAAAAAAAACTAACACTAGAGTTTAAGTTCGTTAATTTTGTACAATCGCGTCGCGAAAATACTCACGGTATCAATATCGTTAGATAAAACTAGAGAGAGGAAACGCACACCCATCTCCGGACGCACATCGATGTTTGCTCGGCAACGTGTGCAACTTTAACTTGTTCGATTCCCTCAAGAGAGAAAGAGTTAATTTTTGTAGAGCGCTGTAGAACGCCTTAATTATTATTTTCATTTTTTTCCGCTCATCCATAGAATACTCGAATGCACCTCTGCCGCCGCCCAAATCCCAGCACTTCGGAGACGATCGCCAAGGTAATGCCGATTAGCTCATCATTATTTACACTTACACGTATAATTTTTTCTTGTTTCCATGTGCGTGTGTGTGTGTATATATGTATATATGTGTGTTTGCTTTTATCTGCGCGTTTTTCTGTTGCGGTAACGAATTGTTACATAGCGAGTGTTTTGTAACTTTTGTGTGTGCGTTTTAACCGACTTCCGCGTGTGCGAATGTACTAAACATATGCTGTGAGTCGGGCAACAAACAATTTTGCATCCGGACGGATATAATTTTCGCTTGAAAATTACATTGCCAAACACTGAGATAACTGGAATGCCGCTTAACAACAATTTTAAACTCGAAAAAGAAGCACGCGCGTGTGTGTGTGTGTGTGTGTGCGTGCGTCAATAGAAAAATAGTTTAAAAACTATATTACGCGAATAAAAAAACTGAAAAATATTTGCGTGAAAAAATGTCTGTTTACGCGTAAATTGCATCGTCGAGTTTAAGATTGGAATCGATTCGATGAATGACGGTCGCGCACGTGACCAATGTGGACAGTTGTTGGTTGTGTTAGGTGTACGGCTCTGCACGCTGGAATACGTGGTGCACGAGAGCTCGAGATGCATGAACGAGACGCGCTCGTGCGCGTCGGGGAAAAGAGAGATTGTGTAACCGTTTGCACGAGCGATCGAGCATGAGCGCAATAATCGCGCGCGGCCGGTCGGCACAAGCCGGTGATGCTCGTCTCTGATGTACACATTGTAGGTACGTCATCTCATGTGGCTTCATTATTATGTTTCTCGCTCGTCGTAAGTCGCGCATGTACGAGCGATCGGCGACCGAGACGCGTCAAAAAAAAAAAAAAAAAACGATACTTTATGCACTTTCCCCCGATGGCGAAATCGAGGAAGAAGAACCACTCGACGTTGCAGTCTAGAAATTTGATGTTAATCGTGTATATCGCGCGCGCGCGCGCGCGCACAACTTCTGCTTTCGTGTGAAGATGTGCGAGAGATGCGCGTCGCTGCACGATGTCAAAACGATTAGTGTTCTTTTTTTTTTTTTTTTAATTAAAAAACCACGTGAGCTTGAAACACACGCAAGTGTCTCGCACATTCGCGCAGAACATTCCGAATAATTTGATCGTAACGATGAAAAGAGTAAATCTATTTTTGTTGACGATGTCAACGTAAAAAAATACGCTGTTGTACAAAACAAAATAACATTACACGCAAAAATGGAAAAATTCGAACGAAATGGCGAGAAAAACAACGAGAGAGAGAGAGAGAGATAACAGCGTGTGTAACGCCCGATAAAAGAAAAATTGCGCACAACGTTTTCCAGTCTGTTGCCGCTTGACCTGTCTGTCACAATTCGTTTATAATCAAAGGTCGTTATCGCGTGCGTGGGTGAATCGCGGCTTCGGTCTGAAATATTTGTCGCGCAAATCGACGCGATTACCCTTAAATCGTCGGCTCGCCTCATGTCAAGGGCGTCCCCCAACAACTTCGCTAAACAGCGGTCGCGTATGCTAATTGTCTAACGGAATAAAGTAACAGTGAACACTGGGCTGACGTTCAATTTACACGCGAGCGCTTTGGAGAGCGCGGTTCTAGCGCGACGGCTAAGTGAATTCTTTATTGCGCTGCAGGCGTGAACAACTGAAAATTCATTTGAGATGATTCATACGCGCATATTGACGAAAACTTCGCGTTTGACTACAGAATTCTCTCGTCTCGCAAATTCAATTTTTTTTCTATTTCAGAGTTGGTACGTTTTTTTTTTTTATTTTTTATCAAAGTCTTTAACGAGAAAAAATTCTCTCTCAAAAAAACGTGATTTATTTAGAAGTTCGCAATTGTGCTCGCGCAATTTCCCTTGTTTTTTTTTTATCGCGAGCGCATCGTTTTTAACCTTGCATCGTTTAATGCGTTTATTGCGCGTCGCTAAAATTGGACGCTAAGTAGCGGTCACGACTTTATTTTCGACGATGAGCGGACGCGCGCGCGCGGAGCAAACGCCCGAAGAAGAAAAGTCTGAAACACGCAGCGCGCCGTATCTCGGCGTTTAATCGCGACCGCCGCGTGTCAACAGTCTCGTTGCGTAATACAAATTAGCGCACCCAGTTACGGGATCATCCTCACGTGACTACAGCCGCACGCATTGTCTTCGGAGATTTATACATCCTTGGCATTGCAAGCGCGTAAGAATCGGCTAAATATTTACCGTGCGCAAAACACTTCGCTCGGACGCGAGCAAGTATTTGCGCATTTGAACGATCGGGTACCCCTTATCTAATCTCTCGAGTTGATTGATGGACAAAGACGCGTGTTTCGTCGGCGGTGTCGACGATATACCACGTCATCGAATCCATAGACTCTTTTTCCGAAAAAAGACCGAGATGAAAAGCTAATCGAAACGAAGAAGGTGTAGAAATAATATTTCCAAAATTTATAGCGCGAGTAAAAAGAATTATACGTTGTGAAAAAAAAAAAAAAAATGACAAGCGTGTAAAAGAAGAACGCAAAGCTTGTTGTATATATTTCTCATATCGCACATGCGACGCGTAACAGTATGACTTTGTGTTCGCGGTCGTGAAAGCCTTTTAGTATTGCATTTTATCTGCGCGGATAACGACTCGAAGAACAAGATTTCTGTTTTCCCTCGTTGTAAAACTCATGCAAAAATTACGGCTTTGTACGTGCGCGTGTTTTCTTCTCTGTTTTTTTTTTTTTTTTTTTTTTTTAAAGCCACTTTGATATTCTTTTGATCATATTTATTTTTTTACATATTTCTCGCATAATATTTCGCTCGCGAGATATGTTACTTTTCGTTTATTTTTTTCTTTTATTAAAACGGTGAATTTTTGCGAGTGTGCACACACGCTTCTCTGTTTCGAAGAGACGTTTCTCGAGGTCCGCGCTCTTGGCGAACCGCGCGCGGGAGTAGGGGAGCCGCGATAACCGGAGGTGCCAACGTCGCGGCGCCTTCTCAGACGCGTTTCACGTGCGTAGCGCGACGCAGGTTTTTAAATAACAGGTTTCGAAAATGGAATCGCGATCGTGCTACGGTTGATCGATCGATGCGCGCGATCGACGCGCAATTTGCCGAATCTCGGAGAGAAACAGGTCTCGATTATGCTTCACCGCGCGCGCAACGAACGGATTTTTCTCTTCGAGAAAGAAACAAAGACGCAATCGCGAGACGATTTTTTCGAGGTGTTGTTATCAGTGCGATCGATAATCGATAAAAACTTGCCGACTTAATTGCACGAAGGTTCTGCTGTTCTCGACTTCCGCGCGTCACGCGATTACGTCGAAGTTGTGTATTTTCGAGTGCGAGTCGGTCGTACCTGCAAATGTTACGTGTTGCGTGAAAAGTTGCACAGCTGATATTATTGTGTGTGCGGGTGTGTGTGTTTTGACGTGAGTCCTTTTGTTTTGCAAACGCGATATTCTCGAACGACACACGTTTTACACGTTTTGTGTGTTCGCTTGGAAACTTGCAAAAAAATTTGTCACGTGATCAAGCACTTGATCTTTAAAGCCGAACTCTTACTCGTTTATATTATCGCAATCTCGTTAAATTTATTTTCTCTTTCTCGTCGATAAAAGTTAACACGTGGCACACGTGTGTAACAAAAGTAAATTTTCTTTTTTATATTAAAAAACTTCTGGAAGAAAATAATTAAATGGAGCAACGCGATCGAAGAAAAACAAGTTCGCGACGATTATAATCGGCGAAACTTTCGTTCTTCTCGAGATAAAAAAAAAGAAAAAAAGAAAAAAAAGAAAAAAGCGCTACGGGATCGCGGCATCTTCCACGTGAATACGTTGATCCACATTGTGTTGGAAACTTGTGGCGGCGCTCATTTGAATAGAATAGCCATGAGAGTGCAAGTAGCACCTTTCTCAGAGGGAAAGATTTTGCGCTCGTTGGTACATACAAACACACTTCGTTAAGGCACACTTTAAGACTCCTCGGGGAGAGACTCGCTAACACAGAGAAAATCTCTTACTTGATGATGACTCCTCTGACGAATGTGTAAATTCTTGTTTTCAGAAATGCAAGTTTTTCTTAAATGAAGATTCCTCATTTAAGACAGTGACATTTTACCGAGTAACATTGCGACAACGATCGTTCAAAAAAGTTCCACGAAAACCCACGTTCTTATTAATTACACATTTACGAGGATAAATGGTATTTAATGAATCAACGTCCGTTTTCCGGAAGAACGAGATTACCGCTAGCTTTTTTATTGAGTTTTTTTTTCATCGCGACGGTTCGCGTCACTTTTCAAAAATGATTAAGGTAATTGAAATAATTATCTTACGGGGACGCTTGCCTCTGTTTGTTTTTTATGTTAATTTTGCGCGTTGCCTCGAGTTATGAAAGAAATGCGCGTTAGAGCTCGCATTGGAAAACGTGTGTGACGCGATCGTTTCGACCTTGACAGAGTTGCGCGTTTTAATGCGCATCCGTTCCGAGAGTCAACGTTACACAATGACACGGTTCTTAAATGCCCAAATCGACGAGAAAAGACGGACGTTGACGCGCGACATATCGGCGCGTTAAATAAACGAACGCGTAGTGGCGAGTCATCGGCTGCGATAATAAATCGCAGTTTCTTCGTTCGGTTTCCCGATCCCGGTCATCAAACCGAAGTGGCGTTTATAACTTGCCGCTCGCGGTTGCTCAATGCCGAATCGCGCTTTCCAATTCCCGCGTTCGCGTGTTTATATCGCGCAATTAAATTTCGCGCGGATCATAATCGAGGATTTTGAGCAACATCCGGGGCGCGCGATATGTCCTCGATCTCTTCTCGAGAAATCGGTCCAAAATCGGCAAATAACTCAAGGCTTGACCGTGAATTTTTTCCCGACAGGAACACACACACACACACAAAATGAATCCAATTAGCGAAAAAAATATTCGAAATTTGTTCAACGAGTCATCTGTGTAATAAATCAATATCCTGTGCGCGATAGTTTTTTTTTGTTTTTTTTTATTTCTCTTCGATTCGCGACAATTCGACGTTCGAGCGTAAAACGCGTGTGTTTGCGATGAAGAAGACCGCGCTAAATCGAACGGGGGAAGTCGGGACGATGTTATCCCGCGTCGAGGATCTGGAGCGTAGCGCTCAGTGGACCAGTTTGGCGAACGACATCAACGAGCTCGAGAGACTTCGTCTCGTCGACGCGAGACGACCGGCGATTCGCCGCGACAAACGAGGTATCGAGAAGCACACTTATCAACGTGGCTCAATGCCGGAAGTGCAGCGAGCGTGCACGGTGCACTTCGACGACGACCGCGACACGATCTCGCTGAGAGATCCGGGATCGGAAAACTCCCGGTGGAGCTGGAAGCCGCGAACGGATTTCGAGAGAGAATACTTCTACAAGGATTACAGGGATTACTGTAACGGCGGCGGCGATTCCGGCAAATATTTCGAACCCACTTATCACGAGTTAGCGACGAGAGATCGTAGTTACGCTCGGTGTTCGTACGAGAGTCCCGCGCGATCGTCGTCGGTGCGATATCCCGCGGGACTCGAGAAGGAACACTTGAGCGACAGCAGGGAGCGACTGCACGAGATCTTCGAGCACAATCGGTATCTGCGCCGGCAGTTCTTCGCCGCCGCCAATGTGCCGGGAAACGCGCGACAGAATTGCGTATACGCCAGGAACTCTTCGGGCAGAAGCAATCAGGAGAGCAGCTCGTGCGGACGATGCGCCATCGGGTTCGGCAGCACCGAGACGCTCACAAGCCAGAGCAATCAATCGTCCGTGAGCAGTATAAACGAGCGGAAGTGCCGCGCGCAAACTACTCGCAGCCCGGAAGAGGATTCATTAAGCGAGCTCGCCGGGAGAAACAACGCCGATCCCTCCGCGATCGATCGCGGGGATCAGCGAACCGGTGACGGCAGGGTGCTCGTGAACATCTTGCCCGGCAGCGAGGTAAGACGCGTCGATGTGCGAAACGTGGCCGCGTCCGTCAGACTCGATGAGGCGAGTAACGAGCGGAGCGAAAACTCATCATCGGCGGCGATCATCGAGGAAGTTCGATTTCGGAACCCAAAGCGCCAGCCGGAAATGCTCGATAAATCGAGTCAGTGTGACATCACGGAAAACGATAGAGAAAGGAATCTGCCGGAATACATCTTCGGAGAAGAAGCCGGGAGAAGCGAATTCGATGAGACTCGACGAGACGGGAATTCGTTGGGAGAACGCCGTAACGATCGACGACTTGGCGATTTCGAGCGGAATCGATTCCCCGACACTCGATCCGAGAGAATTTCCGCCGCGAACGGACGATTGAATTCCGGCGAGACAAGAAGAAGCATCGCGAGAGAGGACGACAATAGGATCCGCGAGGTGACTGCCGCGCCGAATCTGACAATCGTGAAGCGGAGCACGCCGCTATATATCGCGCGGGCGGTGCGAGTTTCCGAAGAGACCGAATCGTCGGATTGCGAGCCGCGCGTCGCGATGTCGAGTCGCGAGTCGAATCAACGCGGCGAGAAGGAGCGACGATCGGAAGAACGACGTGAGGAGATCGAAGGTCGGACACGCTCGATCGGTCACGAACAATCAACGGTGTCTACGACGTTGGACGAGGAGGAGTCGGTGGTCCCGTCCAACTGTTTGACCGCGCTGAGCAGGGTCAAGTTGGCGAGGATTCCTCCTCCGTTGGATCTGAGCGCGGTAAACGAGCAGTGCGAATACATGGAGTCGAACGAGAGAAGATGTTTGAACGATTACAGCGTCGACGTGGCGATTTTGCGCAATCAGGAAGATCTGCTCGAAGATCTGCTGACCGCCGTCGTTAGAAACGAACGAACCGGCAACCTTAGAAATATCGGAAGAAACGACGTCTCGTCGGGGACGTTCGATGTTGGAATTATCGGAGATGGTCGACGCTGCGGAAGAAAGGACGACGGGAGAAGAAGACCGATGATGAGGCCTCTGCACAAATCATGCGGTGATCTCTCATTGTCCAACGAGCTGCTGCAATCGCCGCAATTGGTCAATAATTATAAGAGCTCGGGTGATCTGCGTGCGACAGATGATGATGCTTCGTTCGGGACACTTCGAGGTTCGATTGACCCTGATGACCGTCGCCGTAACCGAGCGGCCGGCCCTTTGTTCGATCAGACGAATCCGATTGGCGGGCTCCACGCCGCCGGAAGCACACTTCCGTCTACGGTCTACGGACCGATTCCGTACAGTCAGTAAACATGCACATAATTTTCCTGAAATAATGCTCTTCCTGCCGCGCGCGCGCGCGCGACGACTAGGATCGTTTTGGTATAACTGTTGTTCGTGGTGAAACATTGTGTTGGTTTTAGAAACACGCGATGTTGATTGGATTGCGAAAAATTAATTGACAAATATTTTATCGCATATGTTAATTGTTAGTTATTTAGAAATACCAGTGTTGTTTTTAAACAAACACGCGCGCACATAACAAAATTGTCTCAATAGGTAAAAAAAAAATAGGTAAAAACCTCCCACGACTCTAAAAGCGAAAGCACGCTGAATTCAACGGCAGAAGCGTTGAACGTGAAATTTATATCGAGAAGTGAATCAGATAAGATCTAATAAGGTTAAGCAAAAAATAGTCTGAACTTCGGTAGGAAGCGCGAGAAAGAGAGAGAGAATCGATTGCGTGAGAATATCATTCAATGAAAGCGGTGAAAGGTGCGGCGTTGTTCCCCGTGTGACGATTAAACTTCGTTTTCTCATTTCGGCGTTGTGATTCCGGCACTTTGCACACGCTAACTACCTAACATTGGGTTAAATGTTGAATCGTGAGAAAATTGAGAAAATTCATCGTTAAACAATTTCAAGTTTTTCATCTAACTACTTGAATTGAAATTTAATTACCTTTATGTTTAATTTTATAATAATGTTTTTTTGAATAATTTTATAATTTCAATATTACTTTATATAAGTTTTTAAAAATACAACTTATATATTTTATATGTATCGTTGCAGTAAAAAATTTACGATAATATGTTAATATCTGACTATTTAATTATTCTTCTTTATGATAAATATTTCGTCATATTTTTTCTCTCTTCTCTCGCCGCATATTTGACAAACATGAGAAATGCTCATCCTGCAGTCAGACCGGGAGAGTTTCACCGCGATATATTAATGAGTTTACTTTGCCTCGTGACGTGACACATCTGGCTCTCTCGGACTGCGGTAAACTTACATCTCGCGTCATCGCGACGACCGCGATATTTTGCAATACTACGCGTAACTACACAGATTGCAGGTCAGTTGCAAGTTGCATTCCGTTTTGTCGGTCGCGCAGTCTCGGATGCGTCTTGGATGCGCGCGAGCGCGCACTGCGCGTAGTAGCAACGCGCGTGGCGCTCGTTGCGATAAGCAGCGCTCGTTGCGATAAGCAGCGCTCGCTGTCATTATCTCGCGCAGCGTGTGTATACAACGACTGCGCACGCAGTCTCTCCGTTTCCTTCGAAGTGCGTCGAAGGCGCGCGCTGTTTGACGAGAGAGAAAGAGAAGCCACAGAGAGAGGAGTATCACGCGAGAATCGAGAATCACGATTATCACTCGTCCCGTGCTGCTTTTTTTTTACATTAATAAATAAAAATTACTCGCAAACGCACGCGCGTCGCGCCACACGAGTATCTCTACCCGAGTCTTTTCAAAACGTACACCATAATTGTGTAATCTTACCAGAAAAAGTGTGTGTAAATAATTACAATCGATTCTCTCGATATTGATTATTGCCACTTTTTTATCTCGACGCTGATTGGACGTTTCTTAAGGATGCGTTTCTCAATTCATGTCGTACATATCAAGGTAGTACATCGTGTCAAGTTCACGCGCAACGAAGCTCAAACGGCGCAAGACACTCGTGCCTCTTATATACGCGAAATTTATATGATTGAGAAGTGAGGAGATTTTCATGGAGCAATATCTCAAGAACACGACTGTACCGATCACTTTCGTTTTAATCTAAATCGCTTCAGAACAAAACACTAAAAAACAAAAGTATTGCGTTTTTTAAAGTCACGTGACAGGGAAAAAAGGAAAAACACTACGTGACTACTGTCAGGTGACTAAATATATAAAATATATATTATATATATTTTATAATATGTATATAA